GTTAGATAGCATCGCCGAAGCAATGAGCATGAAACTGAGCAAACTCAGGGAGGCAGTGAAGATAGGAAAACCTGGCACGATACGGTTCATGGGGTCACGAAGAGTCAGACACGACTGAACAACAACAACAAAAGTCCTCCAAAGTGTTCATTATCGCTTGTTAAAATTCTGGAGGGATGGAGCCAAACTCATTCCCTCAGGAACTAGATCTTTGGGCAAAGGCAGTTCTAAGTCTGAAAGCAAAAAGCAAGGAGTGCATGAACTGGTGCTGGCTCTCCAAGCTCAAATCCACCCCTTTGGTGGCAACTGATCTCCAGTCCCAGGCTGGATGCCTAACTCGCTGAGGCTACTTGGTTGACTGTAAATTGTCCCACCAAACATACTAGCAACCATTACAGCTGTTTAAGCACCTTCTGCTGTGGATTTTGTTGGAAGGAAGGAATATCTCATACCCTTTTACCTGTCTCCAAGCACCCACCACTGAATTTCCAAGGCCTATGAACAATGAGGATGCAATCCAGCAAGAGAGCCAGTCTGGTGTAGTGGTTAAGGCACCAAGCTAGAAACCAGGAGGCCGTGAGTTCTATTCCCCCCCTAGGCACAGAGCCAGTCACTCTCCCTCAGCCCTAGGAAGGCGGCAATGGCAAGCCACTTCTGAAAAACCTTGCCAAGAAAGCTGCAGGGACTAGTCCAGGAGTTAACACCGACTCCAAGGCACACACATACCAGCATGAAAACAGAATAAGAGCGGTTAATGAACTAAAAGAATGATAAAAGCAAAACTCCTACCAAGGCTGCACTGCTCAGCTCCACCAGGGTCATCCAGAAAGTCCTTCTCTTGTACAGGATAGAAATTATCACAGCTTTGAGGAGCTGTAAATCACATTATGCAAATAACACTCCGAAAGGGTTTCCTCCAACATGCCTGCGGTCTTTAATGACCCTGGCTGTGACTGCGAAGCCTTGCCAACCAGTAATTTACTCCTCCTTACAGTTCTCGACTGTGAACTCTTAATTCCACTAAGTTGCTTGGTGAAGCTGTGGGAAAGGAGAGTTTACCCGCTCAGGTTCAGTTCTCTGCTCAGCCCGGCAGACCAAATCACCCACAGAAAACGAGCACTTCGCTGCCTCCCTGTATTTAGCTTGGGGGTGTCACTTTCTTCACTGCCCCCCCCCCAACCGTTGCAAGACCTACTTGTAAGCAGCGCATCACAGTTGGAAGATGTAGCGGCATAACGTCACCGCCGCCCACGAACCCAAGACACAAACAAAACACACGCGGGAGCGCGCGCATGCACACACACTCACACCCAGACCGACAAGTCTGTGGGGAAGAGAACAAGCAAGGATCTTTTGCATCAGACGAGCATGAAAAGGTCTTTCAAGCAGGAGCTAATTTTGGGGGAGCAGGGGGCGCGAACTGAAACGGGTTTGGGAGGTCAAATGGCAGCGAGCGCGTTGCTCCGGCTTCAGAGGCGACGGGGAAACCCGCACACGCTCAGAAGCGCCGTCTCCAAAGCTACCGGGGAAAATGAGATGCAGCCCCAGGCCTTCTCCAGAATCCCGGTTCAAACACTCACTGAAAAGTGCACCAAGGAAGCAGCGGGATTACGGGCAGTTCAGGTCAGAAGACTCGCCATCTCCACTCTGGGCGACGGATGGAGAGCGCCTCTTCCTCCAGGAGCTTCATTCCTGCCTCCTGCTCTCGCTTCGCGAAAGGCTGTTTCCTCCGGCACCGCCAGGAGCAGGGGCGACGCTGGACGAAACTGGCCCTGCGTGTGCCCTGGGTGGGAGGCGGGGGAGGCGAGGCAAGCGCCCCTCTCCGCCTCCCTTCCTCGCTCTTCCAGGGATGCGGCGCGGACTCGGGGCCTCGCGCGGCCGCCCGGGTGCCTGTGCTGCGCTGCGTTGCGTTGCGCTGCACACCGACTCCTCCCACCCTCCTTCCGATAGTGGCTCCCCAGTCCGCGAAGACAGGAAGGCGAGGGACGCTCCGAGCGGCCGCCTGCGCCGCTGGCCAGGCGCAGCGAGAGCGCCCCCGGCTCTGCCTCACCTGTCCCTTCCGCCGAATCGCACACCTGCAGGTCCGCTGTCACCTGGCCGGCGCCGCTCAGCTGAGAACTTCACTAGGCGGCGACCCGCGGATGCTTCACGCGTTCAGAGGCGTATCCTGGTGCAATTAGCCGTAGAGGGGGATATATCGAGTCAAGCAGTATATAATAGGCATAGTGACCATACGCCCTTTATTATAACGGACAGTCCTTTACTTCAGAAAGCTGTCCTTTAGATTGATTTATTTTTCAAAAACTCACTTTTGTCCTTTATTTTGGTCATTTAACTTTTATTGTACAGGTGGTACCACTGAATGCACAGTCTTTCTCATTCATGTGAAAAATATGGAAATTGACTTGTCTTTTTAAAATAAATGTACACGTACTGTTTGAGTTTAGATATTTATATTAGAATAGGGATTTTTGTAGAGTTTTTCTGGTTTTGCTCTTGAATTTTCCTTTGTAAAGGAAAGTTATAAACATAAACCATTTTTTTTAACCTTATGAACCTCTTTCGAATTTGCTGCTTTTTCATGTCTGTCCTTTATTTTTTCCAAGAAAATATGGTCACCATAACTATAGGAGATAGGAGATTAGAGGGCGCTTCATTGTGAAAGGCACTGGGGGACGGAAGTTACCGATATGATGGAGGGGGGGAGAATGGGTGTTTTATCCACTTTCCTAGGGGCACAAGTATATATATAAACACCTCTGCATGCATAGGTACATACATAGAGGACCATTATCCATATTTTGCAATCACGTGGAGCAGTGTTGTCCAAACTTGGCCACTTTAAGATGAGTGGACTTCAACTCCCAGAATTCCCCAT